AGTTTCAAAATTTTAGGCACTAAATTGTGAGAAATGATAATTGCATTTTAATGACAACATTGTTGCCAGGTTGTGATTATAGATACTCTATCAACTTCTATATTAATAATTCACATACAGTCAAAAGTCATAGAATAAAAGACCTGCTAAAGTATCTAGTAAAACATACAATGCTGACTAGTAGGCAAGAAAAGTAGATCATCGAAGTTGCAAGTTAGAGAGACATATCAATCAGACTTGTTTCAAAACAAAGTTTCAAAAAAAGTGACTCAGTTTCAAAATTTTAGGCACTAAATTGTGAGAAATGATAATTGCATTTTAATGACAACATTGTTGCCACGTTGTGATTATAGATACTCTATCAACTTCTATATTAATAATTCACATACAGTCAAAAGTCATAGAATAAAAGACCTGTTAAAGTATCTAGTAAAACATACAATGCTGACTAGTAGACAAGAAAAGTAGATCATCGAAGCTGCAAGTTTTTTGACTAAATGTGTATATATGTGTATATATTATATACTAAATGTCTATAATGTGTATAGATAGGTAGTCACAGAATATGTATGTAGGAGTTATAGAAGACTTCTTCTTTTTGTGCCACTCCTATCGGAGACTGGAAATCATCAAGGCTATTCTGACCTTGTTTACGGCTGACCTAAAGAGTTCATTAGTGGTGCAGCCAAACCACTCTCTCAAATTCCGCAACCATGACATTCTTCTACGGCCTGGATTCCGTTTTCCTTCTATTTTTCCCTGCATTATATTTTGAAGTAATGCGTATTCATGTCCTCTCATCAGGTGACCAAAATATTCGAGTTTTCTTCGCTTTAGCGTTAACAAAATCTCTGAGTCTTTTCCTATTCTTCGTATTACTTCACAGTTTGTTATTCTTTCAACCCAACTAATCTTCAGCATTCGACGGTAGCACCACATCTCGAAACTTTCAATATTTTTCATATTGTTCTGTTTGAGAGTCCAGGCCTCTACACCGTATAATAGCGTGTTAAATACATAGCCTCTCAGCATTCTTAATCGTAGAGGGATGCTTATATTTCTGTTGCAGAAGAATTTTCTCATCTTTATGAAGGTGGCCCTGGCAATTTCGATACGTCTTTTTATTTCACTGTTTTGGTCTCCAGTTTCGTTTATTAAAGTTCCCAAGTATTTGTAACTTGATACTTTTTCAACTTGAGTGCCGTTTATACTAATATACGCTGGTTGTGTCATGTTTTTACTGAAGACCATATACTTGGTTTTTTTAATATTGATATTTATACCATAATTGTTGCAAGCAATATTTATGTCTGTAAGTAATCTTTGTAATTCTTCTACTGTTCTTGCAACTAGTACAGTGTCGTCCGCGTATCGAATATTATTTACAATCTCTCCATTAATTACGATTCCTCCATTTGCTTGTAAAAGGGCTTCCTGACAGATGCTTTACTATATACATTGAATAACAGAGCTGACAAAATGCAACCCTGTCGTACTCCTCTACGTATTTCTATTGCTTGTGATGTTTCAGTTTCTATTTTGATGTTAGCTTTCTGATTCCAATATAGATTGAGAATTATTCGCAGATCTTTATTATCTATGTCCTTCCTTTCAAGAATCTCTCTAAGCTTATCATGGCGTACTCTGTCAAACGCTTTTTCAAAATCGATAAAACACGTATGTACCTCCTGATTAACGTCTAGGCATCTTTGTGTGAGAACATTCAAACCGAAGAGAGCTTCTCGGTAGAATCTAGCTTCTCTAGCTCTCTTCTAGAGAGCTAGAGAAACTATATAGAGAAGCTTTATAGAGCTTCTCTCTATAGCTTCTCTATAGAAGACGCAAGTATTTTAATTTGACAATGTATGTAAACAAAATTAACTTACTTATAATTATATAAAGCAGTATTGACAAAGTAGTTTGATATCTATGATGAAAGATCAAAACATAAACCATCATCTGAATAAAAAAATTTCTTGTATTTGGGTATATGTCTCATTGCAAGATTTAATAATTCTACTTTCAACATATTGAATCGAATGATATATTTCTTTGAGGGAGCCATTTCATGATAGCTTATCGCCAGGCAGGTTTTGGTGTGAGGCATTGTCCATAACGATAACAGAATTCATTTCAAGGCTTAATACAAGATTTGGTCCAACATTAAAAGTATTTATTATCCATTTCTTCAAGATAGTCCATAGTTTTCTTCGATTCAAAGAGTAACTGTTATCCAACTGTTATCTGTTATTTGTTAACTGTTAATTGTTATCCAAAAAACCCGAATCACTGCCCAGGTGTGTTAAAACGAGTCTTCGTCTTTTGCTCGTTGGTGTTTTCAAACCAGTTGAAAACCTTTCAATAAAGGTTTGTCGACGGTTTCTAACTTCAAAATTTTGCCACACCTTTGAGACAGTATGGCCTTGATTCAGACAAGTTTCGTCTAAATAGTAGATTTTTCCTCACAAATAAAGGAAACAAGACAAATAAAGGAAACAGACAAAAAGCATTTAGAATTTATAATTTCAACCAGAGGACCAACTGAAGAAGATATAACAACTGAGAAAGATATATCAAGCGATATGGAGCTGGAGAGAACAGTTGTTAGAAGGAATACAGTGGAAATTCTTAATAATAGAGTAATAATAATTTGGTGAGAGAATTGAACATATGTAATGCTTGTTCAATTGAAACCCATCTTTGGTCCAGACAAATATATCTACACATAATTACCACTACAATTAAGGGACCTATCCTATTGTTTACCACCTACTTAGAAAATTCTTATGGCACTTGCTCAAAGAGTTCATTTACGGCATTTTGTACTTATCCGATTAAAAACGATTACCTTTTAAAGCCTTTTTCAGTGGTCCAAATGTGAAAAATCGCAAGGCGATAAATTGAGACTATGCTGGATGCTCTGATATTCTTTATTTCTTTCGTAGTGGATTTTCTTTCACTACTTTAGGAACATGGGGTCAAACATTGTCATGCAGAAGAATGACCCTACATGAGACCTTCCTGGACGTTTTCGTCTTAATGCCAAGGCAACAAATTAGCGTTATATATAAGGTATCTCCTGCACGTAACGCATGACGGTCATGTTGCCTCTGATTAAAACCAAAGATAACCTACTGCTAAAAGCATTAGCCCTTTATACCATAATTCCAACAGTATAGTGCATATGACTTTTCATAGAAAATTAAGGAACTTTCACCACGTCGCTTTCTCACCCTTGCACGGCCATTATTAATGCACAAAATTCACTAGAATTCATCAGTTAAAACAATGGTATTCCATTCGAGTTTTCAGTTAAGCAGCTCATTGCACTAAGCCAGACGATCAGTTGGGTACTTAAGAGTGTGAGGTAGGAAAACTGAGGACAATATAAAATTTGGTCCAAAACTTCTGATCCGTCGATAAATACTTCGCATTATAATGGGTCTTCCATGCTCTCAAACCACTGGTTTGCGATTGACCTTGTGGCCGTTAAGCGGTCCCATAAAGATAAAAGTCTTAAGGCGGCGATCTTGGTGTCGCACCACTCTTCTGACACGCCCTGTACCTCTAGCTCTTTGTGTACGGCCTTACTGATTCCATGCCCGACAACAAATTACCTCCACCATATTGATACTTTTCTGTAACCTCATGACTATCTCTCTAAATAGTACAAAGCGGCTACACGCAAGCCCATTATTCACTCCCTATCAAATGCACTAAGCTGTTGAAAATCTAAAACCATCGCTTAATTACTTTTTTTGTAAGAAGAGAAGATATCACAAAAACCACTTTGCCGATATGGTTTGAAAAACGAATAATTTTTGTCCTAATTTAGAAATTACATATTCTTGGAAATTAGTAGTAATATATTCAGTATTACTAGGTGTTTTTTTTCTGTCTGTATATTAATTATAAAAAATATGGACCCTGATAAATATGTCTGTTATATAGAGTTGAGAGATCACCAATTAAAGCCTCATACAAGATTCAAGCTCAGTATTTCTCACCAAAGAGGCTAATATTCTTCATAATTGGCTAGTGGAGCTTATAGTATTAGTAGTTAATTAAATCATTTGCCAAAAGGACTCTATTAAGGATTTAAATTTGCAACTATTCAGCATAGAATGTTTTCAAATAATATATTAGCGGCACCACACTTCGCTCCGTGGTATTTGTTATGCGGCTTCACTGTATTCGACCAATCGTCAGCGAATAACAAATACGCTACTACACACTTGTGCCAGCGGGCCAAACATGCCAAGTATTTATGTTATGCCGTGTTTGGCAGAATCATAATTGACGTATAGGTATTGACGGTCGCTGCAACCACAAATCAAAGCGTAATAGGTACGATAGTTGTATGTAAACACACAAATTTGTCAAATTTATGGTTCAAGAATAACGAGAATTAGAATAAAATTAGGTTAAGCTAAACAGCGAGACAACCACCGGTGCGATCGAAGAGTGGTCAGTCGACACATACATTTGGCTTATTCGTGTCCTTTAAAGCGTGTCAAAAAACCGACAAGTTGACGGGTCCTATTCGGTTATTCGCTTACACGTGCCAATAAATGAAATAATTGACGAATGTACCTTCCACACTTTGTCTTAGGGTGCGTTCATAACGGAGACCATGGCATCGTATCCTCGCCTAGAGCATAGCACTGACGGTGAACGCTCGCATTTAAAATAATGCATTTATTTTACATAAAATCGATAAGATGATACCATCCCATGGTCCGAGCGAGGGTCGGCGCCTCGTTATGAACACACCCTTACGCTGCCAAATATGGCGTATGATGAATAACACATAGCGAAGTGTGATGCCGCTATAACAGAAATATGATATTTTAATCATATCTAAATATCTAAAGGAAGGTTTTATTTTACCGTAAATATGGTAGAAAGTTGGAAGTTCGTTTGTTCATTTTGTTTTTAAATGTGGAATGTCAGATCAAGCAACTTAATTGTATTGTTAATTCATTGTAGATTTAACTTGTACTTCTTTTATTACTTAGAGCTTAGGAGAGTTGGCAATTGAAGCTTCAGAAATAGTGAGTAGGTTAGAACAAGCCGCCGAAGGAGTTCCAATACCAGAAAATGTCCATAATCATTCTACTGTATTCTTAGGATTAGAAAAGAAACATACTGACGAAATTATAAGAACTATCCATGGGTTGATTAGTACAGATGATGAGGGTGAACCCCTCAACTTTCCTTCTCTGGATAGTGTTACTAAGTTGGTAATGGTAACGCACAGTTTGGCAGTCTATTGTGGAGGTCTAGAAAGGCCTATTTTGCAGAAGTTAAGCACAAGATTTACTACTGATACTACTAGATGGATAACTCAGTTATTTGGGTAAGTTTTTTTAACCGATTTGTATCTTTTTATAACAATAAAACACTGAAAACTTTTGTTTTCAAAACAAATATTGTTTTCTCATTATAAGCAAAGCATTAATTTTGGATTATAGATATAAATACTCGAACTCGTTTGGTCTCGTAGACATAAACAAATAATTCTTCTCATGCTTTTGGTTTTTTTATATTAACTTGCTCGAAAACTATTACCATTTGCACGGGGACGGTTACGAAAACAACATGTGGTACATAGTATTAATAAGTTAACTCAAGTAACAATAATTTAAGTTTATGATATAATCATATGGTTGTAAGTTCCTGTCTCGAGTGTCATGTGCAAACAGTATAAATTGGTTTATACAATGAGGGCTGGATTGCTCGTGGAAATGTATTTGTGGAGCTTCAATAGGTTTGTCATAACCACCTGGTGATTCTGTTTCCTTATTTCGTTTTAACATCTTTGTAAATTTTGATGTGACTGGTTGACGTGGCGTCTGTTAAGACGTTTTAGCATACTGCGAGTTAACGGCCAGGTATATCAATGTGAGACGGAAACCATATAATGGTTAGCTTAGAGTTTAATGTGGAAAGGTGTTGGTAAGAGTGATGGATTTTTTAGACAAGGGGGTAATAGGTAAATAATTCCTGAATGAATAAAATGGAAGCTAGAGAGTGTACAGATATATCGTGTGTGCTGTCGGTTTTCTTTGAGTGTGGACTTAATCCAATTTTTGGACAAAAATTTTTTAATATTTTTCTCCAAATTTACGCGTTATACAACAGAAACAAATGTATCGTTAAAACAATCTATTTATGCAAAATAAGTAAAAAAAATACTGTACCAAATATGGTTCACCATGCATATAACCGACTATTAAGTTTGGATATGGTATGCAACAAGACATTTGATAAGGAAGCCTGCATTGTATATTGAACACTGCGTCTTTGCTCTATCACGGCACAATCCACATCGAGTTGTTTTTTGAACTATCTACACTATCTATCAACAAACGGCTTACTCGGTCATAGTGAATATCGACGTTTCCATTGGCCGATGGACGACCTCGAGAATAGGAAGCAGGTTTCTTATTTTGTTGTAAGAAAGATATCGCAATTCGTCTTCTATATATATAATATATATATATTATATATATATATATATATATATATATATATATATATATAAGGTCCTTGAACTCCTAAGTGGAGCATAGAGCTTCAGTGAAAACGCGCCATCGGGTTCTATTTTGCGCTAAGGCCTTCACCTCATTCCAAGACTTTCCTTGTTTTCTTATCTCGTCCATGATGGATCTTCTCCAAGTTTGTACTGGGCGGACCTTTTTTTTCGTTTTCCTTGGGGATTCCACTCTAGGGCAGTCTTTGCAATACTGGAGTTATTTTTTCGGAGTGTGTGACCGATCCAACCCCACTTTCTGGACTTTATTTCATTTACTACCCTCTTTTGTTTCGTCAGGTGTAGTAAATCTTCGTTTCTGATGATGTTAGGCCAGAAAATACGAACAATTCTTCGTAGACATTTATTAACAAAGACCTGCAGTTTGTCTGTAAGGGTTTTTGTCGCTTTCCAGGTTTCACATCCGTAAAGTAGTACAGACATGACATTTGACTGGAATATGCGGATTTTTGTCCTCGTAGTGTAGTCTCCAGACCTCCAAACAGGGTTGAGCATGCTGAAAGCTTGTTGCGCTTTTCGTATCCCCATACGAATATCGTCTTCTGTACCTCCGCTTTCTGTTATGACACTTCCAAGATACGTAAAGTTTTCCACATTTTCAATCTGCATGTTATTAATGGTGAATAGCGTGTTGTTTCTTGCATTTATTCTCATGGATTTGGTTTTACCAATATTGATTTTCAAACCTATTTTATTGGCTTCAGTGGAGAGTGTTTCCAATTGGTCAGCCACATCTTGGAACCTTTGTCCTAACAGGCAGATATCGTCGGCGTATTCTAGATCGCTTAGGCGTGTGGTTAACGTCCATTGTATCCCTCTTGTGTCAGAGTCTAGTTTGGAGAGAACATAGTCTAGAGCTATGTTAAAAAGAAACGGAGAAAGCACGCATCCCTGTCTGACTCCAGTAAGTACGTCAAATTCGTCACTGTTGATCCCATTGTGTGTCACGCTGCATTTTGCTTCAGTGTACAGTAACTTTATGATGGAAATTATTTTATGCGGGATGTTTCTTAGCTCTAAAATTTTCCATATCGCATCATGAGATAAGCTGTCAAAAGCACGCTCGAAATCAACAAAAACCATGTATAGGGGTGTGTTCCATTCAACCCATTCAATTCGTCTTCTAATAAATGATAAATAAATTAATTTTCTTTCGTGCGAACCATAAAGTTGACATGCATTACAATGTGTTGACTGATGAATGAAGGATATAATTTTTTCCTCGCATAGAAATACGGTAGAGACTAATGTTTTGGTCACTACGGTCGACTTCGTCTGTATTTACAATATATACATGTACCATATGTGGTTAGTCTATCTAAAATGATAAATAATGGTAGTGTTACAGAGGAAAATTGTTCTATTTTGTTTCATATGTGGATCCTTTTCTTGTTTTGGGAACTGGTTTAAAAGACGAATTTTTTGCAGTAGGTAGTATAGAGTTTGAACTAAGCGTTACTAAATTATTGTGATATTATTGTACTGTAATTAGTTCTGTGATTACTTATATGTCCCTCTGTTTTCTTTCTAATCGTGTCGGTGGCTAAAAATCTTTCCGAAAATTTTTTCATAAGCAAAATAAAGAAAAAATACTACTTAAAAACAATATTAAACTTTTCGTTTGGCCATATTTCTATTTGCGCATTAGAATATTCTAATAAAACGCTAGCTCCGACTTCATAATCTTTATATATTTTCCGTAATCCATCGACATTATACCTTCAAGACGATAGTCTCCGTCTGTTACGAGACCACATGCATTTACTGAAGGAACCAACGTAATACATTTTTTACTAAATTTTCATCATTCTTAACATACTAAGCGCATTCCTGGACGACTGTGAATCTTCACAGTCGTCCAGGAATGTTAAGCTTTTCCTACCCGGTAAACAATGTACTATTTTTACAAAAATACATATAACAAATATTTAGTTACTAGTTACCTCGATATGGTCCTCAATATCGAGCCATATTATAAAACTTATAAACTCTATCACATATTATCGTCAGACATCACAAACCGAGCAATTCATAACTACATCTTATGGTTATTAAGAATTACGGAAAGTATTTAAGCTGTTAGCAAGAAAAAAATTCGCACAAATCAAATCATGTTTATGATGTACAATATCCAAATGGGGGGTCACGGGAGTGACGGCTAAAACCCACCAACCCTATTACCAGGAAGTCAAGAGTTGAAATGATTCAAACTCATTTATTCTTGGGGTAAGTGTAGAATTATGTGGAAGCCTTTTTAATTGTGCTTTAATAAAATCAATAATTTTGAATACAGTAATACCTCGACTAACGCTACCCCAACTTCCGCGAATCAGAGTTACGCGATTTTCGTTTGATTATTGCTGATATAGAATTACCTTCTTTCTTCTTTGGGTGCCGTGTCCGTATTCAGACGTTGGCCGTCATCATGTTTACAATTTACTGAAACCTTTCTCTGTCGGCTGCTGCGCGAAATAATTCTTCTACTGTGAAACCACACCATTGTCTAATATTACGCAGCCATGAAAGTTTCTTTCGACCAATCCATCTCTTTCCTTCCACTTTTCCTTGTATTATAAGGCGAAGTAAATGATATTTGGGTCCTCTAATTATATGGCCGAAGTATTCTGTTTTTCTCCTCTTTATGATGTTTATGAGCAGACGTTCTGAGTTGATCATTTGAAGAACATCTTCATTGGAAGTGTGCGAAACCTACGATATCTTTAGGATTCGTCTATAGCACCACATTTCGAATGCTTCTAACTTGTTTAGCATTGTGGTTTTTAACGTCCATGTCTCACAACCATACAATAGGATCGACCACACATAACATTTCAGGACCTTCATACTAATGTTCATTGACAGGTTTCTGTTGCATAAAACTGGTTTCCAGGTCATAAAAGCCTTACGTGATATTTCGATCTTGGATATTATCTCTTCATCAGAGACAATTTACATTTAACCAGCTGCCAAGGTATTTGAAATGATTTACCCTTTCTATCTCTTCTTCATTAAGAGAAAGCAGACCTTGATCTATATGGATCTTTCCAACTGCCATCCACTTTGTCTTTGAAATGTTGATTTGTAGGCCTCTCCGATAACTTGCTTCACTGACTAGATTTAGTAATGTTTGGAGATCTTGTAAACTTTCTGCAAGAATGGCTGTATCGTCAGCGTATCTAATATTGTTGATTACTTCTCCACCTAGTCTTACTCCCTCTTGTCTGTCATCCAAAGCCTCCCTAAAGATTTCTTCAGAGTACAGATTAAAAAGAGTGGGTGACAAAACACAACCCTGCCGTACTCCACGTTTGATGGGTATTTTTTCAGTGGGACTGTCTCCAATTTGGATAGAGGCTACTTGATTGTAATATAAGTATTTCAGCAGTCTTATATCATAGTGGTCAAGTCCTGCTGCCCGTAGGCAGTCGAAAAGTGTATTGTGTTGGACTCTGTCGAACGCCTTCTCGAAGTCGATGAAACAAACATAAACATTCTTTCGGAATTCACAACTTTTTTGTAATAGAACGCGCATACAGAATAGTGCCTCTCTAGTTCCTAGACCGTTTCTAAATCCAAATTGCTTATCACCCATCTTACTTTCGCATAGAAGGAATACTCGGTTTTGTATAATTCGTAAGAGTATCTTCAGTGTGTGACTCATCAAACTGATTAGTCTAAAATCGCTGCATTTGGTGGGCTCTGCTTTTCTTTGGTAATGTTATAAACAGTGACTCTAACCAATCATCTGGTATTTTTCCTTCGTTGTAAATTTTGTTGAAGAAACTGGTTAAGCAGGCAATGCT